AACGATACACATGTATGTCGTGTTAATTATGAACAAAGGAAACTTCGGTACTACTTTGGATGTCTTATAGGGGTTAAACAACTGCATTACAAATGTATATCCTAAACGTGCACACAAATACTTTTGCAAGGTAAAAACACCATTAAAACTAAACAATCAAAGAGAGGTAAACACTTTTTCTGAAAATTTCATTTTGAAAATCAGTTTAGAAATCACTATTGATACATGTAATACTTTTCTTCAGTTGAAAAGCTGTACTCATTATTTTTAATACCTTGATGGTTTTAAAAAAACATATGTATTAAGCAACTCTTAAAAGATCTAAAACTTAAGATCAAAACAAATTGTTAGGTCATTATCTAAGCCCACTGAATTGCCAAATGATTTTTCCGTTTTCCAGATCACGACAAGAAGCATGCAATGGATTTCACCTGTCGACAGGAGGTGTTTAATCATTTTTATATGGAACGTGATCCACCTATAATGATGTTAGAGACCTGTGTTTGATATGTTCAAGATATGTATTTTTCAATGTTTTTGAGCTTATTACAGTTCATTGAAAAAATCCAGTCGGTTTAATACATGTACGTGAAGAAAATATACATGTTTATTATACTTCTGTTAAAATGTTTCCTGTATAAAGTTCAGAAGGTAAAATAGCTATCTTTTATAGTTCATGCATAGCAAAGCTATACCCCGGGGTATAGTTTTTGCTATCCACCCTCGGAAAATTTTCATGCAATTTTTGCCTCCAATTTTGATTTCCAACGATAGATCTATCTACTGATGATGTCATAATGACTTCAGTAGCATTGTGACGTCATCAGGATTTCAGATTATTCTTACTGCAAAAAAATTCAAACCTCAGAAATTATATTATACATCAGTATAATAAAACGCTTATCCACTGTTTGTGAGTGGGGATAACTCTTTTATCAAACCCTTGACAGAAACTATTCCCCTCGGGCAAGCCCTCGGGGAATAGTTCTCTGTCGCGGGTTTGATAAAAGAGCTATCCCACTCACACCCAGTGGATAAGTGTATGATATTGTTATGAGTCAGAATAACCCTAAATGCCAGCAAAGATCAATAACAAAATTTAAACTTAACAATAATTTATTTACAGTAATATATAATAAATATATCAAACATTAAGTACAAACTTAGCAAGAATCTAAAAATACATACATCAGAGTGTCCGTTGCTGCACACAATGTCCCAGTGAAAATATATATCCCAGTTACATCTCAATAGTGCTTATACGACAAAGTATATCTATGCATCGAATTGACAGGGTATTTATACAGTAATATAAATCTAGAATATTCTAGAAATTGTTAAAACATGATATTACTGGAACAATCTGGACATACACAAAATTTAAGAATGTTCTAGATAAAATGACCAAACATGTTGACCACTCTGGAATGTTCAAGAAACTTAATGTTACTAATTATATACATAATGAAACAATACACATCTCACAACAATATAAATATTAATATAAAAATTAATAGGAAAATTTTGTAATCAGCCATCTTAATTTTTAAATCCAAAATATATTCCATAATGAAAAATAATTGTTATATAACAGTCAGCCGACTGGTAGATTCATTACCTTGCAGTTTGAGGAGCCAATATTTAAATTGGAGGTAACGTAGAGTATTCGAGCTCAAAAGTCTCTAAGCAAAAAAATATTACAGCAGAGGAAATACGGATTTCTAAAACATCAGAACTGGAATCAGGAGCCTTCTAACTCAGTACTTCTATCGATGTCTGACGGGTTAAAACACTTGCACGGTAAATGTAACCGTTTAAATTAATTTAAAAGAAACAAACAAAAAAGAAAGATATTCACTGCTGATTTATTTTTCTGAAAATATCATTTGAAAATAAATTAAGAATTACTGTTGAAACTTGTAGTACTTTTCTTCAAACAGAAAATCTGTACGCATTATCAAATTTTATTTTGTAAACCTTGGTGTCACATATCCTTAAAAAGCATGAATATTATACCTAACATCTTGTTAATATATGAATAAGAAACTTGTGGCAAACATTTAGCTAATTTCTACATATTTTTTCTTTAATACGATAGCAATTATCTACTTAAAGAAATACCATTTGTCTATTTAAATCGACTGGAAATGTCTTGGTATTCATCTAATATTTGAATAAAGGAAGAAATGGCATACTAATCTCATTATAAAAGGAAAGGAACCAACGATCTTGCCGAAACATCAGACCTTGTTCTGCCAAGGCATATTGTAAATATTATGTAAATTTGATAATAATAATAATAAAGAACTTACAGAAACTTCAAAAGCAACATTTTTATGAAAGGTTTATTAAACCAAAGGGTACATTTTTTGAACGAATGAAATATATGGCGATAACAAATAGTATTCAAGCTAAAAAGTCAATTTAGCAATATGAAATTAGAGCAGAGCAAACGCAGACCTTCAAAACGCTTCTTCTCAATAGAACTGGGTTATTCTCACATTCTATTGATTGATGATCAAAAGAATAACTTCTTAAATTTTACCCGCGTGGCACAGGGGCTAGAGCGTCTGCTCTAGAGTCGCGAAGTAAGGAGCTGAGCCTTACCTCTCGAGTTCGAATCCCAAGGTTGGACGGAGAGACCGGTCCCTCGGATTAGACGGTATATATATAAACCTAGGTCCCGTGTTACAGTAGTTGCTGGCTCGGAAAAGATCCCTCTGTGCTCAGTGATCGTAGATATCGAGTATAAGACAAAAATGTGCAGCTCCTCCGGCAAGTGTTGACGTCTCCATATATTTATGAATGAAAAAATCTCGAGAGGGACGTTAAACAAGAAACAGAATAACTTTCTTAAAAACACTGATAATGCACATGCACGTAGTCTGAAGTTGATATTAAATGAATGCTGGAATTTCCGATCGACAACATATTTCATAGTCTTCGAAGACCAGATTTTCAAGGACCTCTTGAACGTTCATGGACACTAATTGTTCTTGTGTATTAGCCAAATTGATTAATATTACTATGAAGCAACATTTGTTAAAAACCTTCTATACGATAAAACACTTGTGGTGGCCAGTAACTCAGCACTCAGATATATCGGTTTTTTTTATCAATTATTATTTCAATAAATTTGTCAATTTGCCGACCAAATATTTGAAACAATATTAACAAATGAGATAACTATTTTTGCCACTGTCCACTTTCCTTATTTATTAATGATATTCCACTTTTTCCTGCTTATGGTGTTTATGTTTACCAAGGAAATCTCTACTTTAGATCAACTTAATCTGATCATTTTTTGAAACCAAAAATGACTACTCTCAAATAGGTTAATGCGATTTAAGCAACCTCATTTTATATCAGACCGACAACGGTAGCCTAGTGGTAGAGCGTTCGCTTTGTGATCGGGAACCCGGGCTCGATTCTCGTTCGCAGCGCCGCCTCAAACCTAAGACGTAAAGATAGGCAGTGACTGTTCCTTCGCCAAGCGCTCGGCACTAGAAGTGAGTCAAGGGTCTTTCGGATATGACCTTAAAAAACGTAGGTCCCGTGCGTTGGCACGATAAAGATCCCTCCCTGCTCAATGGCCCTGAGTGCCGAGTATAGGTCTAAATTTGAATCCCTTCACCGACAAACGGTGACATCTCCATATGAGTGAGAGTGGGACGTTCAACAATATACAATCAGTATTTCGCGATAATGATCTTTTTCCTTTTTGGGGACTGTCATTGAATTGGTCTGTCTGAATACCCCCGGTATTCAATACATTAGGCTCACGGCAGTTGTGATGGGTCAACACGGGATAATATCTTCTTTTACAAACGTGACTAAAAATCTTGAATAACAGGTAGCCAACTACTTACTTACTTTCTGCCTGCGATGCCTTTGTGTATATGGCAGTAGCTAGGGTTCTCCATCTATGTATCTTGCAATGGCTAACTTTTGGAGTGTGCACCAGCTTCTCTTATAATTCTTTAATTCAGGCTTCCACTGTTCAAGGCCAAATGACTTTGGGCCTTCTCCTTTTCCGTTTTCTCTGTGGTATCCAGAAGAGAGCTGTCCTCATGATACTGTCTGGGTCCCTCCTTAGTTCAAGGAGGAGCCAGTTCCATCGTCTTCTGATGATAATTGTAGCATGTTGAGAAGATTCTGCTTTGAGATGGTGTTTGACCAAAACATTCCTAGGCTAAGGTCACCCTATGTCTTTCTCCAATCCACTCTGATCTATATGAGTATAGGTAGAATGCAGCTCTTGTATAGTTTCGCCTTTGTTCTTATTGTACATGTCTATGCCTTATTTACAATATTTTGTTTGGATTGCTTTTAATAGATCAATACTTTTTTGATCTTCTTCAAGTAGCGTTATTATATCCCGATCATGACAAAAGGAGCACAAAGCGGGTGTGACCGGTCGGAAGGGGATGCTCATTTTTTCCTGGCACCTGATCCCACCTCTGATGTTTCGGGGGTCAGTGTTTGCTCTGCTCCTTTTTTATATCATATACCTAGTAGTGTATCAGTTCGCACTTTTTGAAAATTTGTTCAACGTTTATGACATCAAAATAAAACGTAATCTTTAAGCTTTGACCCCCTTTCCGTGTTATATGGTGTTTTGAATGTCGTAATTTCCACACTTTATATGCAAAATACATGTGGATTGTAAATATTCCTCCATATATTTCACCTTACAATATCATATCTTAAGGCATTGGTATCTGTTTAAATAATTATAATTAACTACTAGTATGTCATAGTTTCTATTTCTATATTTTCATTTCTTTTTTGCACATTAACATGCCAAAGTTAAATGTATTTATTATAGAAATATTATTACTTCCTTAATTCGGTACTTTATGCAATCTTTAATTTTCGGTTTAAAACTAAAATGAGACGTTGATGTCGATGGTTATGTATTTAACTACGCCATCGCATACCATAGCCATGGAAAGATAAACCCGTAAAGGTTCAGTGATAATAAAGTGTGTAGTTCAGGTATATCCAAGGAATCAACTTCCTTTTTCGTTATGTACAATACCTATATTCACCTGATTCTCCTGTTTAATCTGGATATATTAACCTCTGGTATTTTGTTTGAATATCGACTGAGATGCCCGGATACCGCGGATAAATGGCGGGAGAACTCTGACAGTTACATCTGTCATGGCGACAGGGTGTATCACTGCATGCAGGACCAAGATGGCCGTTACGTTGTTTTCTGTGCATCCAGTATTTGGATTCAACCGGGTTGGATTTTTAAAGAAAAAAAATAATTAACGAGTTTATGTTTTACTTCTATTTTCAGACAATTTTATCTTGTTTAATTTACTTTCAGTTTAAATTACATAGTTTAGTGTAGTATAACATGTATAACACATTTTAAATAGTAACCGATCTCAATGAGGTATGTAACGCCCTGATAGTTTTGGGTTATTTTATTTTTGTATTTTAAAATTGTTACACGATGAAATTTAAAAAACATTAATCAAAAGACACCCTTTACATTTAGAACACTGCCAGATTAGAACTTAAATTCTCGTACTGAATTTTTCCTCGTTTTGATAAATTATGCATAAATTTAAATACAGCGAGTTGTGTATTTTGTTGAAAAACAAATATAATAAATATTTTCTTTCTTCCTTACAGATTACTGTCCAGAATTTAACGCTAAAGCTTCCCTGATTGATGTTATTCTGTGTCAGGGGGCAGTGGAGGGGTGTCCTGGGAATATTTATCTGTCCAACACAGTATATCAATGTAGGTCACGCTGTATCTGTTATCAGTACATCTTCATTGATACAGAGAATATCTTAAGTTTATGTTAATGAAATACGTGAGTCAAACTAATAGCTGCTGATAAGAAATTATGAGGCCTGCTCTGATTATTTTATCAGTGGCTAGGACTATATAACCTTAATAATTAATAAGAGGGTACAAATCTTAGGAAAAATATTAACTTCAAACAGCAAAGCTGACACTGTTAATTGTATACTTTATAAAAAATGTTCCGCACTTTTAAAGTGACTTATTTTCAGTTGTATTCATTAACGTATTTTTTCTTAAAATTAAATAAAAATGAACATTTTCTCCTCTTAGATCCAAGCTGCTTTCGGACTTTAATTAGGTAATTTTGATTTTGAATGAGAGATTTCTAATTTAACTCGGAATTTATCATGTATTTTAAAGCATACATATTTTATGGGTACAATTCTATAATATGTTTTCTTAGATCAACTACACCCTCTCCATCTTCTGATAACAGAACTGTGACAAGGATAACAGAGCTGAGATACACGTATGTTGCAAAGAAAATTACAAACGAACATATTTATATGTTAAAAGAATGCCATTTATACCAATTTTTTTAATTTCAGGACCTGGGGCCAAGCTAAACCGAAAAATGAAAAAGAAAGGTACATGAATAAACTGTATATAACACTCCTTTAAAAGTTAATGCTCTAGCCGTAATAAAAAATAAACAAGGTTTTACTTTGATATTCATTCCCAATAAATTAAGTAGAAGTATTATATAATAAATGATAGTGACATATCAGGTAAATGAAAAGAGAATGTTTTCAATTATTTTTCAATGGGATTTTCTTCTTTTCAAGAGCTTCGACGGTTTCGAATGGGGTTATTCCGGGAATAGTCGTGGGAATAATCCTACCGATCCTTGTTTTCCTTGCAATTATCTTCTTTGTGAAAAGGAAAAGGCCAAAAAAAAATGAGAAAGGTATTCAGCACACAACGTAAAGAAATTAGACAAAAAAGGCCTCAGCTGTATTTTATTTAATTTTGAAAAAGATAAGAAAAGCTAACGAATTACTACCTTGCTCGCAAACATAACTTCTTTTTTTGACTGACAAAGTTCATTAAATTTTTAGGCCACAATTTTCATCCTTACTTTGCTTACTATCTCAACTCCTTTTTCTCTGTAGTAATATTTTGCGATCATCTCCATATGGTGTTTACATCTACCAACTTATTCTGTATTCCCAAGCATGTTATAATCATGATCAATTTTTAAACCGACGGATAAGTTGATATAACTTCGTTTGAAAACAACATATTGATACAATTATTGATAAAACATTGAAACATTGCTTTTTTGTATCAAAAGTGAAAATTTGTTACCATCTCAATACTTTTATTTAAAATTTAATTTTAAAAAGTACACCTGTAACAGCAATTTAAAAATAGAATAGAACAAATTAGAATCACTACCTCAAAGATGAACCCATTCAGTAAGATTTATGGAAGTAATATTGGCATTTAAAAAATAAATTAAAAAATAAAATTGTTTTTACAGAAGCAAAATCACATGTATATGAGTCCAAATCGAACAATTTAAAAGAAGAGGAAACTGATATACCTCAATCAGGTAATAATCTCACACTTACCTTAAGATTTACCTTGTTTAAAGTATGAATTGCTTCTTTTACACACATATTTATGCTCTCCTTGACACTCCGGAAATGTAGTCCAGGTCATTTTTAAGGCACAGCTTATAGCTGTCAAGGTGCCCAATTTTCTGGCGTGACTGATTAAAATTTGATTTTTTTTCTAAATATGCATTCCAGTGTATTTCTGTACTCTTGGTTTTCCTAGGAAAATTTCTTTAACACAATAAATAAAGATCGATTCCTAAGTATGGTAATTCTTGTTTCCAGTTTTTAAAGGAACACTGATATTGAAATTAAGGTCATGCTAATGAGTTCAAAAAATGCTAAAAAGTATATAAAAAAAGGAAAATAAGAGGTGGAATCTAGCTATTTGGAGCATGAAACATCCTCTGTCGGGCAATCATATTCGTCATCTTAGCTCAAACTGTATCACCTTTCGCATGCACATTTCAATTACATCATGTACAACACTGTAGTAATTTTTCTATCGGACTTCCTAAGGGTAGCATTTGCTCTCCGTTATTAGCAGACCTATTATAATATTCATATAAAACAGAATTTGTGCAAAATCTTATGCATGAAAAGAACAAACCACTTGCTGTGGCCTTCAATCACGCAACTCGACATTTAGCTTTATCTATGACGTATTGTCAATTAACAATGGTAATTTCCATTCCTATGTCGAAACGATTTAGCCCGGTGAGCTTGAGATAAAAGAAACAAAATCTGACACATCTGTTTCTTACTTGGATAATTTACTTGAAAAAGACACTAATGGTAATCTAATAACCAAATTATATGATAAACATTTCGTAAGTTCTATGTTCGGTACAATGACCTTGTTAGCAAATGAAATTTATCATCAAGTCAAATGCTGACTGACGTTTTTAATACCATTTGTTAGTTCATTATTTACACACTGAATTGACGACTGATTTTCCTTTTATTTCTCCATCATGACAAAGAGCACACGGCGGGTGTGACCGGTCGGCAGAGGATATTCAATCCCTCATGTCACCTGATCCCACCTCTGATGTTTTGGAGGTCCGTGTTTGCTCTGCTCCTATTTTTGTATTTTTGGGAGTTGAACTATGTTCAGACTCCCTTGGTTGTCACGCGATTTGTAGCGCAGTAATTTTAAAATGCATTATATAGCGGCTGTCGTAGTGTTTCTGTGTCACCCAATTTACTCCCCTGTGATATTCAATACAAACTCGCACCAGTCTATATAAACTCGAAGAAGCTTCCGCAATAAAAATAGTCCATCTCATTTTTCTTAATTATCAAATTTTGGTAAATGATTTGAAAGTAAATGAAAAAGAATTTTATTTAACTTAATTTGAAAAGCATATTTTTGTCATCTCTCTTGAGAAATGACTCGTATTTTTTTAATTTCCGTATGAAAAAAAGTCCTATCATTTATTATTTATCATTCGGCAATCCTCGGCTGACTCCACTACGCTCCATTACAAAAAGTGCGAGGTCATCAAAGGAGCAACAACTGGTCTAACTGGTTTGACAATGTCGCGATTGTCTAAATATAGAAATGTAAACAAAGATGTAAGGTCAAAGGAACGCTAAGGTTTAACCGAACTTCTTTCAATTTGTTTCAGCAATAAAGAGACAGAACAACGTTACTTTTTAAAAAAAAATACTATATATGGAAAATATCACTGTCAGACATTTATTTGCTCTGACAAGTAAAATGATCTGTTAGACTGGAAAATGTTTGTCAGACCAGATACATGCAACTCATTTTTTACGTGGGTAAAGGGAAAAATAATAGCATTAAAGTTTGTTGATATTCGAATCTCACAATTTCAAATGACATTAAATTTACATCCTTTATTTCATGAGTTATCAGCATTCAGTTGCTAACGTGTACAACACCAAATCTAAACTTGAAAAATGTGTATGTACTTGCATTGCAGTATTACCTAATAAAATGTATCATTTGATTTTATTATATAATTAAAACAGTTAAAATTAATGAATACATGCGTATGCACGGACACAATGGTATAATAATCTCAATGATAGATCTGTGAGAAAGATCGTTCCTCATGATTACATCTGGTTTTTTTCTTGTAGTAGCTCGTTAAACTATGTCTGATTTTTTTATTACATTTGAATCAAATCAAAATCACAAACTTTAAGTGTCACTCGCGTGGCGCAGTTGTTAAAAGAGTTTGCTGTAAAGATTCAAAGTACGGATTTAATTGATCCTTACGTCGCAGGTTCGAATCCTGTGGGATGCATTTGGAGATAAACTCTTTTGATGAGACCATATAAACCGAAATTCCATGTCGCAGTGTGTGCTTGCACAAAACGATCCCTCACTACTCAATAGTTTTGAGTGCCGTATATATGTAAAAATTTGTAGACTTACATGTAGCTAGCTCCATCGACAAGTGGTAGGGTCTCAATATAATTGAAAAATTATCGAACGCAAAACAAACAAAATGTAAGGCTTACTTATATATAAAAATTACTTGAAATGAAATTTAAAATTAGGAATAACAAAACCTGATGATTAAGTTATAAAGATAGATACATTTGATAAAATAGATAATCACGGAGTTCTATAAAAATTAATTATTATGTCCGAAAAGAAACATTCATACCCAAAATACTTATTTTAATCAGAGGAAGAAAAATGACAATTTAGTGTCTCGTGATGGTAACATCGAATATAAAGTGTGTTTGTTTGTTTGTTTCTTGGGACCAAATACATGTATCTTGTACACATTATAAAGAGAGTATGGGGCGTTTTGATTCAAATATAAAGTTTGTTTGAGTTTGAGTAAGAAATGGTACTGAAAGAAGTTTGAAACATACCCACAAAAAGTATTTTCGAGTTTGGAAAATTATTTTTTTAGTGGTGGGGGTTGTTTGTTTGGTTTGGTCAAATCGTTGAGGTAAGAATTGGAAAAAATAAATCCAGAACTAAACTTAACTGTTCGTGCGCAATAAATATACAGTTTTTTCAGTGGATAGCACTGTAGCTCTCCGGTCTGTCAAAATCTTTTTTCGGACAGCTACAGTTCTGCAGCTAGTTTAAGATCAGTCGCATGATCTTGGCTATTCAAATGCAATAGAAATTATTTTTAATGTTTTGTGTTGTATCTCTAACAAATCAGTTCTAGTTGACTTGAATCTGAAAGCATGAAACTGTTCCTATACTTCCCGTGAGATCTTTAAGATAACAATGTTCAACTCCCGTGAGTACTTTCAGTACTTTGATTTTTATAGCCTTTGATATCAAAACTGTTCGTTATTTCTATATCCTTCGTAAAATATGAGCATAAGACCGATTATTAAATATATCCTTACATCCAATCCGTTATAAGCGAATGTGTACATATTTGTCTAATTCACTTAATAATGTGTTTCTAATTTTGTTAGCTATTTTATCAAAACGTTGTAAGTTTGTTAAATTGTTCGTTGAATTTGTGAATCAAAGGAAGAAAAGAATGGTGGAATCCGTATTTAAGTAAAAGCAAAATTCTGCAGGAGAAAGACTTAGTGTTTGTATTTTTCAAAATATGAAGTTTGGACATAAAAGTTAGTGTTTGTATTATTCAAAATATGAAGTTTGGACATATCTTGTCAAATTATACTAAATTCAAAGTAATAAAATCATTTTTGAGTTTTTATTTATCAAAGTGGAATATATAACACCTAACACCCCACTATCACAACCTACACATAAAGTGGATCCGAATTTATAATTTGATTCAAAACATTTAGCATGAAAAGGGTTACGAAAACGAACAGCAATCGATATCGTCGAAAAGCTACGACTGATTACGCTTCGTTCCTCTCTCGTAATCAGCCATGGGTTTCCGATGATGAGCGATAGATTCCAGTATAATACTTTACGAATATGAAAAATTCAGGCAACTTTTTCTGCTCAAATTTAATGAGACAATTGGCTAAAAAGGTATAAAACCTGAATAGACGTTAAACAAAATCGTACAAAAACATAATTTTTATTCCAAAAACAAAACGATGTCAAAATAATTGTTTTATTTTTTTAAGAAACAGTCCCATTCCTACAAGATTCAGCCAAGGATGATTATAAAGAATCGAGAAAAGAAAAAGAGGGTAATATCTGTCAGATGGTATAAGGTCTAAACGTTTTAGTTAAGATTTTGAAACATGCTTAAAATTCTCTACAAAGACATACATGTTTCTTTTTGATTTAAGGTTGACGATAACAATTTTATTTTTTATCGAGAAATTAATCTGAATAATAAGATAATATTGTTTTGTTTCATCAGCATTAAAAAAAATTGCAGCTTATGATTTAAGGCATTGCTATC